GCCCACTCAATGAACGCGGTGACCAGTCAATGTACACTTCAGTGCTTTCATCATCCCAGACGAATATGGTACCATTTAATCAACTTTGAAGAATTGATGGCCCGGTTGGCTCAGGAGGTTATCAATTCTGGATTCGATCCTAGGACCGTGTGATGTTGCTTCTTGACATTACATGTACCGCCTCTGCTCCTTAATAGCTTTAACAGCTCAGACAGAAGAGTAGGGGGGAGGGGAGAGGCATAGTGACCTGAAACATTTTTATCAAATTAGATTATAGTCTAATGATTAATGTTAAACTACTTGAATGATAGCTATAGCCCTCAGACTGATTCACCAATTCTAGCCGGGAAGTTGACTACTAGCTTTTTACCGTACTCCCATAGTTTCCTGCACTCGTAGGATCCGGCCGAAGATAGATGCGTTAGTTGCCTCTCAACTATGCAACTTTCACTTTGATCCCTGTAATGTAGTCAGGGAGGAAAGCGTTATGCGCAGAAAGTGATAATAACTAAGCAGAACCCTATACCCTTACACGCTTTGTGAGATCAGATTTTAATCAGGTTTTCTAGGCCATCAAGTCCCCTGTAGACCACCAGTTCACACCAAAGTCGCTGGGGAAACTCAGTGACTCGAGCATTTGTACCTCACAAGGTTGGCAAGTTATGGACAAAATTTTGGCCTTGTACGAGACTCAAACCTATTCGTGTGCTATCCAGGCACGGTACTCCTTATTCATCACACTACCGAATCTTGATTCCAGACAGATTCAGTGGCCGCATTCAAGCTTTGTGTTTGCATTGCTTGCACTGCATCGATATAGGCAAATTTTTTAGCGGGCGAGTCAGGGAACTTCGGCTGTGTGCTTGAGCAAAGTCTGAATGCAGTCGTTGGATCTGCGCCTCAAATTCAGAACGGTGACCTCTTCAAAAATGTTTGAGTCCAACATGAAGGGTGCTCAACGACAACAACTGAACTCCTCAGTAAAATCGAATGTTTTTATTAATATTGTACATAATTCTTCATCTTCTACATAGATACATATTTAATCACGACCGCCACGCTTTGGTCCTTTTTCTCCTCGTCCTCCTCTGGTATCAGTGCATGTTACCTGGAAGAAATGTGTTCAACTGTGGTGAGAATCCAGTAGGAATAGTAGGAGAGCCTGGTGATCTTGCGACCGTTCCTTGATTCGTTTTTAAATCGTAATGAAAGTCAGAAGCGTATACTGACTAAGTTATAATGACCTCACCTCCCAATCACCTCGCTTCTTTTCCTTTTCACAACGTTCCCAACCATCACGCTTGCTGCATACCTTGTCGCAAACATCTCCACGGTATGATAGCGGTACTGGAAATATGTACTACTTCATACATAGTCCCATTGAGATATTCCTGCACTAATTTGTGTCCCTTCAACTCCTGTTAGGGTGGGATGTCTCACTTATAGACTGTTAATATCGATTTACCTCGTTCGACCTTCTCACGTCGTTGAGCTTGAACGGATGCTAGTGCGACGAGGCAGAGAACCTGGAAAATTACTAATTGCTGTCGTTTACGGGCTTGGTTAAGTTTCTAGGCTTTCAAGACATGGAAAAGTGCTCGGCATTAATAGTTGGGCCCTGAATTTCAGATGACATCAGAGATAAGGCACAAAACCACTTTTTCCTCTCCATGATCGTCGCATCATAGCGCCAACATTTACAGGGCCCTACTCATTCGGATTTCTTTATTCTCTACGGTATGGGAGGCTTATCGGTCATGATTCAAATTTTGCAGGTAATTAAATTCATCGCGAAGTCCAGATAGAATTTTCAATTTCTCTTTCTGGTTCCACAAAATATCAAAACTTGGGTGGCACAGTTGAAAATAAGTACAAAATCTTTTGAGCGCTTGTTTCATGATACANGATTCCTTTATTCTCTACGAGGAGAGGATTATCGACCATGATTCAAATTTTGCACGGAAATAAATTAATTGCGAAGTCCGTTGAGAATTTCAGTTCTTTTTCTGGTTCCACAAAATATCAAAACTTGGGTGGCACAGTTGAAAATAAGTACAAAATCTTTTGAGCGCTTGTTTCATGATACAGAATAAACTCACCAAAAACACGAGGAACTTGTTCATATCGGCTGTTGGCAGATACTGTCAGAGGGTTTCTTAGAAAAGCTTTTATACGAGCTTGACGATGAACGTTTCTGTCTGCGCCATCAAAGATATAACGATCTATTTTCGTCGTCTGTCCCATTTCCCGATTTTGACCTTGAGTAGTTGCAATCATAGCATCTTTACGATGGTCTAAAGATCATTTGATTCGCTAAACATCGCTTAACTATGTGGCGCAGCTGAATCACACTAAATAAACAAAGCCATTTCTTTGACGATGGGTCTGATTCAGTTGGAATGACCTTGTCTCATGATCTGACAATTTTGACACATTACGTTACAAGGAATAAATCTTAGGCGCTCATTCGACCATTTTGAATGCGCCACGAATTTGCTTATCCCCAAAGTGAGAAGTAATCGAGTGAAGCCATTTTGCTTCTTCTTGCTAACTGCATTGAAGTGATCATCCGTACTACCCAACAAAACATTCGTTACTCCCAAAAAGTCATCACCACTAAGTCATTTGTTCAAGATTCCTTACACGTAAGCGACTTCTTCATCCAGCGGCATTCCCCGAAAAAGCTCATCCATCAGGTTCACCGCTTATCGAGTTGCAGATATTGGTTGAGGATAATTTTGAATAGTTCAACCTTTTTCACATTTGCCATTTATTATAGAACTTCTCTTGAGTGTCTCTAACAACTAGTGGGTGATAACCAAACTTATGGCAGTATCGCACCACCTAATCCTGCTACAGAAAACCAGCATTGAATGGTTCTTATGCTCCAGAACTGAGCAATTCCAATGCCAAAGACTGCGTTCATACTGCTCGTTGGCTGACGAGCGACAGCGATGGGGTCGATGGGCGAGCGCGCCATCATCGACCATACATCACGTGACCCATAAGCCATGCGGCTTATACTGCGACAGCTTTGAAGTTAGTCAAACATACCAGTTACGCTTCGTTACTCATGGGAAACCACTGAGTAATCACTGTTGAAGATGTAATCCCATAGCAAATGACAAAGGACGAAGTAGGAGAGGCAAGCCTGAGTGCTTGGAGGGTTGTATTCCTCGCACGAGTCATGGAAAGTGGTTTCGAACTACGCTGCGCTCCAATGCTATAGAAGCGACCGCAAAGAGGCAAACCGCTACGCAGCTGTACGCAGGCGACGGAGGAGGCCCTTTGATGTCCACCGCTTTGTAGCACTCGTCCCTCATGTCGCCGCTAATTGTGGCTGTTTTTCCGAGGCTTCAACTTATCTCTTCGGTTCGTCCGTTTCACTTACCGATCTCTTTTTGTGATTCTGTATCGTGTCGCAGAAGAGATTCGTTTCCCGATTTATTCTTTTTTAAGTAGCTTCAGGTCTATGTCAATTATTCTCTCATCACAACCCGCTCTCTTCTTTTAAAGAGATTAAGCGTAATAAGTATTCTACACACCTTAATGTAAGATCTTTTCTTCAAGAAAATGGAGATTATTTTTCTTCGTATCTTAACAAATTCTTACATAATTATAATTGCCTGAAAAAAAAACACGCTGTTGAACCAGCTGGCGGACAGTTATCTCAGTCCCATTTCGGAATCGGTCTTTGGTAAAGTAGAGTTTGATAGATAGCCAAAATCTAGAGG